GAACTCGTGGCATGAAATACGGCGGCGTGTCACACTGTGCGGAAATCGACTTCCGGTTTCCTCAACGAATCGAGGCTCGCGGTTTTCTCGTTCAAAACGTTCCACCCGCCGTTTACCATTTCGACCAGCTACGATTAAAATTGATCGAATGAACGGAGATCGTTCTTGATAATATTATTTGGCACGGTTCAACGTGTGCACGTTCGCGTGTACAAACGGTGTGCACTCTCGTGGTAATTCTCCCGCTCGACGGAACTACGGTAGGACTCCATTTATCCGGATTCATCGCGGGGCGAAACGATGTTTGCGCGATATACGAATTCTCTCCGCTCTATCTACGATTTTTCCCTGGTGCATCAAATCGTCCAACAATATAAATTCTACAACAATATAAATTGACAGTGTTTTATGTTTCAGGAACATTTAGGGACATTCTATTTTCACGGCAGCTAGTGTGTTAATTTTGAAGATCAGAATTACTTAAGCCCCTTATTTAATCGTCAGACAAACGTTCGTGATAGAAATTCGTATGATATTCGAAAAATTTAGTGTTTAAAGTCATCTCGAACATTCCGTGTGGTTGATGATATCATGGATATAAACTTATTGAACGATTTAAATGATAAAATTTAATTGACAGCAGTCGAAACAGCAGTTGGAACAAACACGCAGAATAAGATTGCACGCAAGTGAGATTCGGATGAATGGAATTCCATCGTCACGTATGCTCGTGGAACTCTCGCGTTTTGACATATGTTCCTGCGAATTTTCACAATTATCCAAACACCATATTTCGTCGCCAGTGACGGATATCTAAACAGTTACACCGGAAAGTTCCCCGGTTTGCCAGACAACCAGCGGAGAACCAGCGAATGGAAACTGTCTGCTTTAGTCGAATGTGTCTCGAATTCGACGCGATTTTCCATTAGAAAGTCGAGATATCTTAACGAACGACAAGTTCATACGAGATATACTTCCGGCCAGATAGTCTAATTGGATTTTGTGAATTATTATCAACGAAACTACCTGGGTGACTGCCGGTTTCTCGTAGACCTGCCGCAAGTTTATTATACCGTGGATGAATAATATCTGGTTTTGTTTTCGCACGTGCGAAAATTCCCCTGGAGAATGATTGAATCCTATAAAATCATCTATGCTGCGATGGTTTGATT